CAAATCTAGTTTATTTTATGAGTTGAGGATCCTGGGCGCTAACGCGGTCGAGTACGGTACGTGTAGTTATATGTTTAAATGCTAACATATTTGCTCTATTAGAAGCACATCATGTTTATGCCAAAGGCAAGACTATAGTCAAAATAAAACATATTTCAATGATTTCGCATGCAATAAATAACATTTTTGCTTCTAATATAGTAAATACAGTATTCCTTATTTCTACTTCATGCCTTCAATGCCTTTAGCACATGTTCTTTCTAAGCTTTTTTTCATTAAAATATAATTATTCTTACAAACTTTTACGAGAGCTACATGTATGTCAGTTAAGAATGACTTTTTCTGCATTGAGTAACAAATTTTAAAAAATTTTAAAATTCTTTTGCTGTTTTTTAAATGTATTAGATGGCTTTATGTATTTAACAATGTGTTCTGTGATTTCATTTTATAAGGAATGTTCTAATTTCATTCACTCGACACAAGCGCACCCAACTTTCCTTGGGGTTTTGACAGTTACATCAAGTGCTTAATATACTTTAATAAAATTGCATGCAGACCAATTAGTCTAAAAACTGTGCATTGATGCGCATGCATTGATGTACCCATCTATATCCAGTCATACGTCAAACATTCTTGGAATGATTTAAGTTCAAACTTAACAGTCACATCAGACATTATATTGGACATATGTGCATGCATGTGTTTCATGATCAAATTTGGGATGGTTAAATAGCAGCAATTTTAAGGTGAAATTTGTTCGTGATTCTGAACCTGATCTATTCAAACTTGGTATATTCAAAGATCATAATGGAACTGTGACAATTTCATTTTTCGGATCAAGTTCAAAATAGCCAAATGGCAGCTACATACAAATATATATATATACTATAATATATACAAATGGGGACTATGTCATTGACAATGACTTGTTTAAAAATTGTACTACATTTCAAAAATTTACTATTTCTGCTATTCAATAATATTAGATTCTAAAAATGATGTAATCCATGGAAAAAAGTGTAAAATTCAAGTTTGAATAGTGTTTGATTATGTTCAATGCTGATCACTGTACTGCTTTTGTGCATACTTTGCAGTATTCTCACGATAACCAGATACTATCATGTTTTGTAGAATCTTGGTAAAGTGAGTCGTGAACCCAGAGCAGACGAATGCGAAGTAGGAACGCTGGAGGAAAATTCTGACAAAAATAGATTTCACAATGTTTTACCATGTAAGTACTGTCTATTTAACACATGGTTAAAGAAAAAATATAAATTATTACATACAATGGTATTCTTAGTTTAATACAAGCTTGCTGAATAATATTGGTGATGGCTGCAAAATATGCAAATGTACCAAACATACTACCTCTGCTGAAAGCATCCATTTCATAAAGAATTATGCAAATTATCTAAATACAATGTATGTGTTTTGATTTGAATAGTTGATCGTCGTCGACTTCGTTTAATGACGCCAGTATATGATGATGATTTTTCAACCGACTATGTCAATGCAAGCTTTGTGAGCGTAAGTATATATGACTTTGTGTTATTTTCCTCATAATGCGATCGTGTCAATATAGACATCACATATACCATGTATGTATGTAGGAGTGTGTATGTGCAAGTGTGGTACCAACGTTGTGACGACTTCATTTTAACTTACACCGATTTGTGACGACAGGACCTACATTGTCACGACCCTCACTATTTTCATAATATATATTAATAATCAATCAAACTTAAGTCAAGTTTGCGAAGTTTAGGTATACTAAAAGGAGAAGGTATGGTTCAATTTATGTTAATAATATTAATATAGTTGTACCATACCTAACCTCTTTACTAAACCTAAGCTTCGCAAAGATTTCTACGTTATGTCACAGGATATTAAACCTCCTATTTAATTGTACTTGAATTATATTGTATTGTATTGAATTGAGTTTTATTAAACTTCAATAAAAATGCAACCCTATACAGGAACACGTTTTAATATCGCAACTATATTAAAAATTAATTCATCTATATTAAAAGTTAATCCAATGTGTGTTGTCACATCGACAATACGACTTGAAGTTATGTGCGTGTCTGTATGTGTATGTATGTATGTGTACCAATATCTTATGAAACTCTCTCATCTTCTGATATAACACCCAAACTCAATAAGCTGCTTCTGGCATATGGCTTATAATTATCAGCTGGGTTTTATTTTCATTTTTTTCACTGATCGTTAAATCCGCTACCTTAGAAGCCATTGAATAGTGTCATCATTTTCATCCCTAGCCATTGAACTTGAAACCTATCGAATATCTGCAACATATACTAATTTAAAAATTAAACACAATTATTGGACATACTTGTATATATGCTTCAAATTTCCACCAAATTACTTAAATCATCTTTTCATATACTATTTATGTTTTATTAATCTGCCTAGGCATATACAGTGAAAGAAGCATTCATGGTAACTCAGATGCCATTACCAAATACTATTGTAGATCTGTGGAGAATGGTTTATGATTACAAATCAACATCTATTGTTATGCTCAATGATATGGATCACAATGATAAGGTAACTCAGATGCCATTACCAAATACTATTGTAGATTTGTGGAGAATGGTTTATGATTACAAATCAACATCTATTGTTGTGCTCAATGATATGGATCACAATGATAAGGTATGTATTCATGGTGACTCAGATGCCATTACCAAATACTACCATAGATCTGTAGAAAATGGTTTATTATCAGATTACAAATCCACATCTATTGTTATACTCAATGATAAGGTATGTATTCATGGTAACTCAGATGCCATTACCAATACTATCATAGATCTGTAGAAAATGATTTATTATCAGATTACAAATCAACATCTACCGGTATTGTTATCCTCAATGATAAGGTATGTATTCATGGTAACTCAGATGCCATTACCAATCACTATCATAGATCTGTAGAAAATGGTTTATTATCAGATTACAAATCCACATCTATTGTTATACTCAATGATAAGGTATGTATTCATGGTAACTCAGATGCCATTACCAAATACTATCATAGATCTGTAGAAAATGGTTTATTATCAGATTACAAATCCACATCTATTGTTATGCTCAATGATAAGGTATGTATTCATGGTAACTCAGATGCCATTAGCAAATACTATTGTAGATCTTTGGAGAATGATTTATGATTACAAATCAACATCTATTGTCATGCTCAATGATGATATTGTCTGCAGAATTTAGCATACAGTTTTTGTTTCAAATATTGTTTTCAGACCCTTGGACAATACTGGCCTGATGAGGGTGCTATGCAATGTGGACCCTTTCTGGTGGAGACTATGAAAACTGATAAAATGCCAAATATAACAACAAGAACCATGCATTTGACAAATGTGAGTAACTAGTTTGTTGTTGTTTTGATTCTGAATCAATATACTTTTATTTTATCAACAAAATGTTTTGTGTGTCTTGCTGAAACGATAATCCCAGTTCATTTACATTCAACAATGAGCAATGCATGTTGTAATTTAAATAATTTTTCTCTCAAAAAAGTCTGAATTTCACAGTAGGAAGCATTCGACGCAGAGTTTGATACAGCTAAATGTATGTTTAACATTCCTTCATGTAATGTTTTAGCCTCTGATTGGACAACTTTTGATTGCATGCCAGAGAAACAGATGAAGACAGAGTGAATAGATAGAAAGAACAAAGTCCAAAAGTGGGGATTATTAAATTCAAATTTTATCTGTAACATTTGATAATAGTGAGAGGATATTTACTCAGGGACATTTGAGAATAGTGAGTATATTACTCAGGGACATACGTAGTTAGTGAGTATATTTACTCAAGGACATATAAGATTAGTGAGTACCGGTATATTTAATAAAGGATATTTGAGATTAGTGAGTATATTTACTCAAGGAAATTTGAGAATAGTGAGTATATTACTCAGGGATATTTGAGATTAGTGAGTATATTTACTCAAGGACATATGAGATTAGTGAGAATATTTACTCAAGAACATATGAGATTAATGAGTATATTTACTAAGGAATATTTGAGATTAGTGAGAGTATTTACTCAGGGACATATGTACTGTAAAATGACTAATATTCACTGGGTTTAAATTTCACTGATTTATCATTTCAGGCATATTCAGTGGGTTTTAAATTCACGGTTTCATCATTTAGATAATGTGTTCTATGCTAAATTTTACATATTCACTGTGTTTTAATTTAGCGCATTTTTCCAGTCAGCGAAATAAGCTAAATTAAAACCCAGTGAATAATTACCCCCTTTACAGTAGTTAGTGAGCATATTTACTCAAGGACATATGAGATTAGTGAGTATATTTACTCAAGGACATATGAGATTAGTGAGTATATTTACTCAAGGACATATGAGATTAGTGAGAATATTTACTCAAGAACATATGACATTATTTAGTCAGTGGCATTTGAGAGTAATGAGAGTATTTAGTCAGGGACATTTGAGAGTAGTGAGAGTATTTAGTCAGTGACATTTGAGAGTAGTTGAGAGTATTTAGTCAGTGACATTTGAGAGTAGTTGAGAGTATTTAGTCAGGGACATTTGAGAGTAGTGAGAGTATTTAGTCCGTGACATTTGAGAGTAGTTGAGAGTACAAATGTATTTAGTCAGGGACATTTAAGAGTAGTGAGAGTATTTAGTCAGTGACATTTGAGAGTAGTGAGAGTATTTAGTCAGGGAAATTTGAGAGTAGTGAGAGTATTTAGTCAGTGGCATTTGGGAGTAGTGAGAGCATTTAGTCAGTGACATTTGAGAGTAGTTGAGAGTATTTAGTCAGTGACATTTGAGAGTAGTGAGAGTATTTAGTCAGTGGCATTTGAGAGTAGTGAGAGTATTTAGTCAGTGGCATTTGAAAGTAGTGAGAGTATTTAGTCAGTGACATTTGAAAGTAGTGAGAGTATTTAGTCAGTAGTAGTGAGAGTATTTAGTCAGTGATATTTGAGAGTAGTGAGAGTATTTAGTCAGTGGCATTTGAGAGTAGTGAGAGTATTTAGTCAGTGGCATTTGAAAGTAGTGAGAGTATTTAGTCAGTGACATTCGAAAGTAGTGAGAGTATTTAGTCAGTGACATTTGAAAGTAGTGAGAGTATTTAGTCAGTAGTAGTGAGAGTATTTAGTCAGTGACATTCAAGAGTAGTGAGAGTATTTAGTCAGTGACATTTGAAAGTAGTCAGAGTATTTAGTCAGTGACATTTGAAAGTAGTGAAAGTATTTAGTCAGTGGCATTTGAGAGTAGTGAGAGTATTTAGTCAGTGACATTTGAAAGTAGTGAAAGTATTTAGTCAGTGGCATTTGAGAGTAGTGAGAGTATTTAGTCAGTGACATTTGAAAGTAGTCAGAGTATTTAGTCAGTGACATTTGAAAGTAGTGAAAGTATTTAGTCAGTGGCATTTGAGAGTAGTGAGAGTATTTAGTCAGTGACATTTG